GTGTAAAATAAGCCTTTAATAGATGCTGGAAGAGATGTATTTTTTCTGAGGAGTTTAGATTCAAATTTTAAAACAATTCAGCTTGAGTTCTGCTTGTCACGTGGAATTAGAAACTGATTGTTTCACGCGTCGGCATCAAAGTTAAAAGAAAACATCATGGCGTTCATGAAAAACGCCACACACATCCACACGGTCGGGGAACCATCGGAAGCCTCCAGCTCTCCTTTTGGTCTCCATAGTGATGTCAATATTCCTTTCATGTTCAGGTCTCAAAGGCTGAACAGATTTCATGATGTGGTTGCTTTATTGAGCCTGATCTGCTTTTCTTGCCCCCTTTCGCCATTCAATCAGTGTCCATGTGGTCGTGGCCTGTGGTGCTGCGTAATTTGGTTTAGAGCTGAACAGGAACATCTGTTCCACAAAGCCTCAGCTCTTTCCGTTCCTCGGGCCTTGAGGAGAAAAACGAGGACCTCCAAACCTGCGAGCCTCTGCCATGAGTCCAAACCCTCTCAACAGTGAAGAAGAGAGACAACCCTTTGAAGTGCAGGGTGGGATGAAGTGCTCCACTGACAGCCATGACAAATACTGTTTATTGATTTTGTATGTACAGTAGGAGGTTTAAAACTGAGTCTGATGGTTTCTTCAGCCCACACACACACACCGGATCTCGGAAATCCTAACCCTAACCACACAGAAACTGAATAACTGCATAATTTATTAACCCTTTACGAATCTTTGGGAATCATGAAAACAACAAAATGATAAAATATTATTAAGGGACCTGCTGCTGTGCCAGAAAGCAGAGCCCTTGTTGTTATGCACCTGGGGTGGGGGGTTGTTGACATTATTCGCCTTTATTTTTATTATTCCGCTGGCGTTAATGCAGCTTAAACGGCTGTGTGCACCCCACCCCCACAAACTATACATCAAAATGAGCAGCTCGGCCGTGGGAGGTGTGCCATTACGTTTCTAAGCGATCTAATTTACCACGGCGAAATTATTCATACAAAACACATTAGTAAAAAATTGGTTATAAGTTCATGAACATTTCAAGGTTCCCATTAAAAAGAAGAAGAAAAAATGTTTTATATAGCACCTCTCAAGATAAAAATCACATGGGGCTTCTTCATCGAAGACCTCTTATGATGAATTATATTATGGAAACCGTGTTCCCTCGCCCGGATGTGGGTCAGCGGGGACCCCCTCTGGAGCCAGGCCTGGATGTGGGGCACGTTGGCGAGCGCCTGGTGGCCGGGCTTTCACCCATGGAGCCCGGCTGGGCACAGCCCGAAGAGGAAACGTGGGTCCCCCTTCTCATGGGCTCACCACTCGTGGAAGGGGTCAAAGGGGTCAGGTGCAGTGTGTGACGGGTGGTAGTCGAGGGCGGGGACCTTGGCGGTCTGATCCTCGGCTACAGAAGCTAGCTCTTGGCACATGGAATGTCACCTCTCTGGTGGGTAAGGAGCCTGAGTTGGTGTGTGAGGTTGAGAGGTTCTGACTAGATATAGTCGGACTCACCTCAACGCATGGCTCTGGCTCTGGAACCAGTTTCCTTGAGAGGGGTTGTACTTTCTACCACTCCGGAGTTGCTCCCACTGAGAGGTGCCAAGCAGGGGTGTGTCATGTTTGGGGAAAGGTACCTAACCCAAGACATGCAGAACACAACACAGACCAAGAACGGGGTAAAAAAAAGTTTTATTTTTTAAGTTGGAACTGAGGATGCACAGAATAGTCTGTGGCTGGAACTGCTACGACAGCTCAGCGTCTGGAGGAGGGAGAACACTGGTGAGCATTGGTTCAGTTTCAGAAGTCCATTTAGACAGAGGAGTTCGGCTGAACTTACTGTGGGACGTGAGTTTGCTGGCTGGAGGAGGGAGCAGGTTGAGAGCCGGGGGGAGCGCAGGAGAGGGAGCACAGGTGGAGGTAAGCGGGGCGTCCTGGTGGATGGGGCACTGAGTTAAGATGTGAGAGGAGAGTTATGGAGGTTGGTGAATTGGTCCACGTGCAGAGTATCAAAATATCCTGGTGTCCAGAGGTTAGTATCCAAAGGCTAGCGACCATAGAACAAACAGGAATCCTGAAGAAGGGAATAATCCAAAAACAGTTCCGGGCGGTAGCAAAAGTCAAAAATCCAAAAATACCTAGAGCAAACACTATAAGAACAAGAATCCTAGAGATACAAGAGATTAAACTCAAGTGGCTGGGTACTACCAAGCTGAGGCAATCTTCCGGCATCGAATTGTGTCCTCCATCCACCTTATGTAGGAAGCACCCCGCTGATTGCAGATCAGGAACAGCTGGAGGCACTCCCTCTCCTGGCAAGAGACTCAAAGAATGTAAAGAGAATGAGGAGTACTCACCCCGGCTCATGACAGGGTGGGCATACTAGTTGCCCCCCATCTTGGTGCCTGTACGTTGGGGTTAAACCCAGTGAATGAGAGGGTAGCCTTCCTCCGCCTACGTGTGGGGGGACGGGTTCTGACTGTGGTCTGTGCTTAAG